TCTGGGGTGCCACCGATTCACAAGGCTCTATTTTTACTGTAAGGAGAGGAGTTGAGCAGCTGTGATGTTGCAAGACTGAGAGGTTTCTGGGAAGAACAAAACTTGTAGCGTTTTGAATCTTATTCAATCTCTGTGTAAATTAACTGACCCCAGAGTGGCTGAGGACGATGCCGTCTGGATTTTTCAAGCACCCAAGTGAACAGAAACTGTTAACTATGGTCATCTTACCATGTTGCTGATATCCAAGCAGTCGTACGGCTTCTCTGTGAGAAGTTTGTAAGTATCCAAGAACTCTTGGTGAATACTTTGGAGCTGCTGGTTGAGGGCTCGGCCTCGAATGCCTCCCACCTCCAGTTTCTTAAGTTTTAGCAGATCTAACACCGTGGACAGGATGTCCTGTGGTCAAACAGAAAACAATCACAATTTACTTCACTAAGCAAATGGATATTTTAAGAATAATTGTCCAGCAAAATTGCCATCTTAACATTTAATAGTACTTGTACGCTTACCTTGATAGTTTTGACTCTGCAGATAAACTGATCAAACCCAGAGAAAACCAACAGTGGGGAAAAATCCCAAGGTTTAATCACAGTTCCATTTTGTTGGTACTGTTTCAGATTATCTTTACGATCTTCATAGGTGCTCTTGAACAGCTGCAGAACCTCCAGGCTTATCTGGACCCGGAGGAGACTCTCTACAATGTCCCCTCTCAGAACGTCCTCTGGAACTAGATATGCCCGGGCCTTGTGGGGGGAAGGCAGTAACAGGTTAGTATATTCATTTATTTATGTATATTACTTTTTAAAACTTGTGTCAAAAAGGTTTTACACTAAGAATAAATACAATGAAAAACCAGTTGTTGTTCTTTGCGCTTTTTCTTCCTGTAGGGTTCACCACAGCAACCAAACTTTCATAAACGATTTGGCATTTGCTTAACACCAGATGGCACGACCTGGGCTCAAACCTGCAGCTTCAGAATTCAAAGAGTGTGGTGCTACTGCTGCCATAAATAAATACAACTAAAATATTTTTAAAAATTATTAATAGAAATGGAAAACGAATGAGAGATTTGTTACAACTAGTGGTTCATATGATATTTTGCTAACAGACCTAGCTAACTAATTGTAGTGACAAAATTGCAAACAAACATTGTGCATTTTGTGCTGCTGGAGTATGTGTTGGAATGACTCTCCACTGTTAACATGCCAAATTTGTGCAAAAAAAAAACTTGTTAATTTGGCAGATTTATAACCATTTTTATGTTTGTATTCAAGTACAAACATAAACGCACACACACATATACATAGGTATATATATAACAAATAACAGTATATATATATATATATATATATATAATGTATATATGGCAGTATCCATCTTGGTCTTTGATGTGGTAAACCAGTTTTCACAGGGAATATTTTTTAAGTCTAGATGTAGTCACATACCAAAATGGAAGTCGGTAGCTCACTTACTTTTTAAGCTATAATGCTAAAAACCTGTCCAGATGGCAGAGGAACATTTCCTCCTTATTGCTCAATGACAAGGTAGGAACAGAGAAACGTCATAATTGCATGTATTTTGCCTTTCATCAATGGGCAAAATATTTTTGTCTGTCTCTGTGTGCACGCGTTTGTATTACTATTGTAGTAGCAAAATATTATATAAGCCACTGGATATATTTTAATCAAACTCTCAATCATCTACAATGTATTAACTCTTGGACTCAACTAGAGACAAGCTGATCACCAAAACTAATGAACTTTAGCCAAAAGAGAAACATGTATGCCTGAGTGAGCAGTTTCACATATATTGAGCTGAAACTTTGAAGTGGTAGTAGCTGAATGCTAACAGGGTCGCATATCACTAACAATTTCCAAGATTTAACTAAAACTGTTAAAACAGGAAGATGCTCATATTTTGATGAGAATTTAAAGCTATGGCAACAATGTTGGTCCATATCAATTATCAATTTCAAGTATCTTTATTGTCATTTGCCTCGCATGTGGTACATGAGGTGGAAGAAAATTATGTACTCAAGATCCCAGTTACACCCCAAAATAGCAAAAATATAAAGTATAAAAAGAAACAGTATATAAGAATCTAAGATATACACTAAGATATATGCTAAACGAATGCTAAACTATACGCTAAAAGATCTAAGACTTACGCTAAACACTAATAATGTAAAATAATACAATATATTAAATAGCTAAGATATACAAAAAGATCAATGCTAAACGAATGCCAAACGGTATGCTAAAAGATCTGATATGCGCTAAACACTGGCAATGTAAAACAATACAATGTAACAACAGCAGCTCGTACATGAGTCTGTGGTGGGCAGATAGGTATGAATGAATAAATAATAAGGTATACAGTGGTCCCTCATTTATTGCAGGGGATCTGTTCCCTGAAGACCAGTGAGAAGTGAAAAACCACGAAGTAGGAATAGTTGTAAAAGTAGTAAGTAGTAGTTTATTTTATTATGTATGTATATATATATATAGATAGATAGATAGATAGATAGATAGATAGATAGATAGATAGATAGA